AAAGTTAGGACAGGCTGGTTTTATACTCCCTGTCCAGCCTGTCACCTTACCTTTGCATCATGCTATTCATCCTTCCCGGAATGTCTTCTCTTCTCTTTCACATATCTAATTTCTTTCTATCTAAGAATATTATGGGCATCTTTCCATATTTAAAAAAATTATATTCATATTTTTCTAATATGGCATTTCCAGTAATAAATCCTATACATGTTCCAAGCAGTCTAGCCTCTTCCTAGACACTTTCCAGAGAGGTATCTAGGTGACTCCAGACCACACCATTCTCCCTCTCTGGAAGTCCACTGCAGTTATCATTCATTGTCTTGTGTGAGAGTGTTCCCCTCAATTCAGTAGATAATGCCTCAAGGCAAGGATCACATCTCCCCTCAATCCTCATTCCATTCAACAGCTCTCAGAAGATACTTACATTCACGTGTTACCTGAAAACCAAGGAGCCCTTATTGTGAGAGGGGAGATCCCACATCTTGGGATGATCATCCTCAGGACCTATAGGGTTTCTCAAGGAGACACACTCTTAGGTTCCACAGCATTCAGCAGAGCTCTCCCATACCTACACTGTCCCCTCTGAGGATTTGGGCAGGCGGGGCATTCTACCATGTCCCCATGCTCCTATACCTCTGCTCCAGAGATCTGAGGCAGTCTCAGAAAAGATCCCAGGTTAGGATCTAAAAAGCAACCTTTGAGGGCACTGAGGGCCAGTTTCCACTTATCAGGTATATTTAGGAAAGATTGTTTCCGCCCAGGGACAGAGCTGTCTGAACAGCATGGCTAGGCTGGAGGGGAGGATTGCTGGACATTCTTAACAACCCAAGAGACCCCAGTTCTAACATCTGGTCCTCATCCATACCCAAGCCTAACTCAAGCTTCCAGAGTTACCCCTTATTCCCAGGAAAGAAAATCAAGACAGATAACGGAGTACTGGCATCATATCCCAGAAGCAGACACTTTCCAAGTACCCAAACCTAACAAGACACATGTTGAGCCTAGACACATGTTGAGCCTATAGGAAGACAACAACAGAACTTAAAAAGAGAGAAGAAAGAAGATTTGAATAGTGGAAATAAATACCATGCTCCCAAATGAGGAAGCTAAGTATTAAGATATGGGTTTTTCCACATTAGTTCTTACGCTTAATGCAATCCCAATCAAAATACCAATAGCATAGAGACAGAAAGCAGACTAGTGGTTGTCTGGGTCTAGGGATGGGAACAGGGATTGACTGCTAAAGGAGACAGGGATCTTTCTGGGGTGATGGAAATGTTCTAAAACTGGATCGTGAAGATGGTTGCACAACTCTGAATTACCAACATTGAATTAAAATAGGTGAATTTTTTGGTACATAAATTATACCTCAATAAAGCTATTTAAAAAAACATATATATATATACAGCAAGTTTTACTATTAATAAAAAAGCATTCAAAATGCAAAGCTGCCTTTAGTTATCCATGAAAGGATTTAAGAGACTTTATGATCTTGTTAAAAATAATTCATCAGGGCCAGGCGTGGGGGCTTACTTCTGTAATCCTAGCACTCTGGGAGGCCAAGGCGGGAGGATTGCTTGAGCCCAGGAGTTTGAGGTTGCAGTGAGCTATGATGATGCCACGGCACTAGGCAGGCCAACAGAGTGAGACTTTGTCTCAGAAAGAAAATAAATAATTTAAAAATGAATAATTCATCACTTGTTTAAAATGTAGTTTTTAAAAATGGTGAACATAAAAAGTAAAAAGAAAAAAATGGTATCTGGGAGTTTGGAGATTTTCAAACAATGATTCTAAAGTTTTCCCAGAGGAATAAATAATGCTAAGAAAAATTTTAAAAGCAGTGTAAGAGAAGAACTTGCCCTGCCAGAAATCAAAGCTATAAAAATTAAAACAAGATTATCTTGTAAGAATCAACAGATTAATAAATTATAAGATATGCACATGCAGGAACTAAAATAGGCTCTAGTATGTATAAGAATTAGTTTATAAAGAAAGAATGACAAAGTAATAGTTAAGGGTTGAATTGTCCACAAATCATGTTGGGGAAAAACCTATTTATTAGTCAAAAATCAATCCAGAGACTGATGCTGTATTATATACACAAATTAATTCAAGATTAATGTAAAAGTCAAGTGAAAGCATTCAAACAATAAAAATTAGAAAAAATACAGATTGAAACTTAATTTAGAATAGGGAAAGATCAAAACTAGCAGCTTTTCAGGTGAAAAGAAAAAGAACAGAGAAGGAAAGCATAAATACTATGGGAAAAAATCGTTAAAATATTCATACTATGGCATCTTATGTAGCCATTAAAATGAAGTTTTTCAAAGAATTCTTAGAAACTATGGGGAAATACTCATGAAATAATGAAAAGTAAAGAAAGCAGGACATAAAACTGAATCGAGTAACAGTACAAATTAAATTTTTAAAATAATAAAAACAAACTAAATACGCACATAAAAAAGATTGGTAGATACACCAAGATGTCCCATCAACACCTGGATAATAGTTACTCTGGATGGTAGATTGTAGGTGAATTTTTACTTTCTCCTTCAAATTTTCAGGGTTTCCTCCATTTTTCTACTAGGACCATTTGTTTCTTTTATAATCAGAAAAATAACTTTTTGCCAGAAAGATTTGGTAGGACAAGAATATGAAAAAATGACCAAATTCATCCACTAGAAAGGTACAGCTTAAAAATATATGCACATTTTTCACAGGTATGATACAATCTCACAATTTTTTGAAGTTTAAAAGAATAAAATAAAAACCACACAAAGTTTTTGCAGGAGCAGCAGAACCACCACAGACAACCTCTCAGGTGCCTGCACTGCCTGACCACCCCCCACCTTTTGGAGGTAAGCAAGGGGGCGAGGGGGGCTGGCACGTCCCCCTCTGGCCCTGCCAGGTGGACGCTGCCATCCTGGTGGGGGGCGCTCCCCACCCCTGTAGGTGGAGAAGCCAGATCTGCACCCAGACTTGGCAGCCAGCCTGGGCACTTCCTCAGTGAGCTCCCTGGGGCCTAGGAGGCCATCTCTTCCAAAAGGCCCTGTGGTCCGGCCTGTGGGCTGGCAGGCTCGGGGAGCAGCCCTACCAAGCCTCCTTGGGCCACCAGCAGCTGAAATCACTCGAGACCGTGCACAAGGGGCGCAAGAGTCACGAATGGATTCCAGAGACTGGTTTGAGGTCCCCGAGGTTTGCTCCATTCCACAGCTCTCTGAACCACTTCCTATGGTCTGACCTCAGCACCCTCTGAACTAAAACCAACGTCTCATGGTCACCCTTGACACTGGTCTCTCCCTCTTCCCCTCCCTGCTCCCCACAAAGCATCTTTTCTCCTTTGCCCTCCATGAGGTGTTGTATCAGCGTGTCCCTCATGTGTTTCCCTTCACTGTTCCAAGAAACCACGTGTCCTCTGCCCCACCCCTGCGAAACACTGCTCTCTGACGCTCCTCCTGCCCCTCAGCAGGCCTTCATCCCGGGACCCAGGGCTCCTGCTTCCTCTATCCCAAGAACCAGTCTCATCTCAGTTCCCACCCAGACCAGGGGCTGTCTCCACTTAGGGTTACCATATTTAGCAAAAAGAAATACTGGACACCCAGTTAAATTGGAATTTCAGATAAAGAACCAATAATTTCTTAGGATAAATATGTCCCATCTATTTTATCCACCCCACCCCCACTTTTGAAACACTTTTTCCTCTGCCACTCATAAGAAATACTGTCTTATTTGTAGCTATAAAACACTGTTTCCCTAAACCCCCATGAAATATTGCCCTCTCTGACCCGAAACATGAAACAATGAACAAGAGAGACAAACTGTTTCCCCGCCCCCACCGTCAATCCTCTTAATCCCACTCCTCAGGCTCCTATGCTGTCATCTGTCTACCTCTTTCTTTGACGAGAGGACACCCCACTATCCCTGTCTCCACACAAAACATCATCTTTTCTCTGTTTGCTACCTGCTCCCCAGGAAATGATGGCACTCCTGTTCCCAGGCAAACCCTTTGCCTCTGTCTCCCACCACAGTGTATCTTACACCAACTGCCTTTTTTTTTTTTTTTTTTTTTTTGAGACAGGGTCTCGTTCTGTCACCCTGGCTAGAGTGCAGTGGTGTCATCATAGCTCACAGCAACCTCAAACTCCTGGGCTCAAGTGATCCTCCTGCCTCAGCCTCCCAAGAAGCTGGGACTACAGGTGTGTGCCACAATGCCTGGCTAAGTTTTCTATTTTTTTTGTAGAGACAGGGTCTCATTCTTGCTCAGGCTGGTCTCGAACTCCTGGCCTCAAGCAATCCTCCTGCCTTGGCCTCCCAGAGTGCTAGGATTACAGGCGTGAGCTACCGCGCCTGGCCCACCTGCCATTTATTTAGTTCTTAGTGGGCGCCAGACCCTGTGCTAAGCACCCTATTCTTACAACAGCCCTGTGAAGTAAGCAGTAGTAGTATTATTCCAATTTTAGAACTTGCCCAAGATCACATCATGTTGAGGGTAGTCAGATTTGCATATAAGTATAACCCGACTCTAAAACCTTAGATAAACACAGATTTAACCAGCATTTCCTAGACATTCAGTATTTTGAAGAATTGAGCATCCAAGTTGGGACCCGCTGTACACCATAGCACACTGCTGCTCCTCAGTCTCCCACATAAAACACCGGGCACATCCGGTGGGCACATCCACAGAACACTCTCCACTGGCCCCTCCCACCCCAGGGAACATCGTCTTCCTCCTCCTCCCTCTGGGGCACAGTCCACTTGGCCATGAACTCCCACCCTCTCAGAAGAGAGGGTCACGGTCAGGCCGTGCTGCCGCATGCCTGGCATCTGCAGAGTGGCTGGGGCGAGGGCCATGCCTGTGGTCCCCTGCTCCTGGCACCCCATCCCCTCCCCACCCCTTCCATAAATAGCCCACTGTTCACCAGCTGCCGAGCCGTTGCAGCAAGAGTTTCCATGAGGTCAGTGCCTAGAGCAGCCTCCAGGCACCCGACACCCACACTTACCTCTCCGGGAGTCCTGTGGCCTCCCTGCCCCTGCAAGGGGCTGTCCCGGGCGCTGTGTCTCCGCCGGGCAGGAGGCGTCGGCACCTGGGCAGAGGCCTGAGGCGGCGCCTTCCCTGAGCTCTGGGCCTCGCGCTCTGGAGCTCGACTCGGGGAAGAAGCGGGCTTGCTGTCAGGGGCGGGCTCCGCTCTGGGCTGCGGAGGGGCAAATCTCTTCCTGTTGAAAGGCCTAGTCGGCTGGGGGGCCAGGGCGGGGGTGGGCTGGCCAGGAGCAGTAGGCGCCCCCTCCCCTCCAGCCTTGCTGGGCACCTTCCCCGAGGGAACCTGTCCCGCCGCCCTCACACCTGGGGGCTGGGGCCCTTGCCCCTGCGGCCTGACTGCCCGGGTGCTCTCCTCGCACATGTCCTTCAGGGACAACTGTCCCTCCCGGCCTGGGCCTGGGCCAGGGGCCTTGTCTTGAGAGCCCACGGCAGAGGCTGGCTTGCTGGCGCCGGCCCTGCCCCTGGGCTGGCTCTGAGCCCGCTCCACACCCATGGGCCCCCGTGTCCCGCAGGAGTCAGGCTGGTCTGCACCGGGGACACGGCTTTCTGAAGAACGGTGGCTTCGGGCGGCCTTCTCCAACTCTGGCTTCCGCAGACCTTGCTTGGATTGTTCATCTTTCTTTTTCTTCTTGGCCCCGGACTCCTTTCTGGGGGCTCTCTGAGGCCCCAGCTCCATGGCATCGCAGAGGTACGTCAGCAAGCCTCGCTCACCGTCCTCCCCACTCTCGGGCGCAGCCTCGCCATTGGTCGTCACCTCTCCAAGAGCAAAACTGTCGATCAGGCCCAAACCCGAGCGCTGCGCAGACGCGGCCTCTCCCTCCTGCCCTGCCGCCGCCGGGGTCCCCCGCTCAGCCTCCCTGGCAGGCGCTGAGGGGACCGATGCTGCCGCCCCGCTCAGCCGCCGCTTTCGCTGGAAGCGGTCGGGGCTGAGCTTGCGCAGGGCGTCGGCCTCCCCCGCCGCCTCCCGCTCGTGCTTCCAGCTCTGCTCGATCTCGCGCAGCTTCGCCGCAGCCTTGCGCTTCAGCTTGGCGAACCAGCGCTGGTGGATCTTGTACTCGGTCATGGTGCCCACCTCCAGGACGCCCGAGCAGGACACGATGCCCTTGGTGTTCCGGGCGGAGGCCTGGTAGATGGCGGCATCTTCTTCTCGACACCTGGAGGTAGGAGCGGGAGGTGCCACCTGACCCTGCTGGGCGCGGAGAGCCCCCGCTTCCCCCTCTCATCGCAAGTCCTGCTGAATGCCACGCCCACCTCAGATGTCACCATGTACAACACCCTCCGTTACAGCTGAGGAAACTGAGGCTGGCAAAAGGGTGGCAGCTAACCAAGGTCACACTGTCCCACAAGGCATTAGACGTGGGGCCCGGGAGAGCTCCCTTCAGAAGCAGGTGACCAACACAGCCCCTTGTGAAGTAATGATGACACAGTTGCTTTTTTTGGCCGCTGACCTCATGGAAAATGTTTCTGTGGGTCAGGACCTCCTCTGGTTGCGCTCAGCTCTCTGACTGTCAGAAATACTCCCACCCTGGCCTTAGGAGATCCCGGACTCTGGCAGGCAGACACGGTTCACCAGGAGGCCCAACTCGGCACCGAAACCCTGCCCTCGGCCCCCACACGGTGCCCGGGCATCTTCATCCAGCAACCCCGTTTCCGAGGGCAGGGTCCGGCAGAGAGAGCAGAGCAGGCGCCTCTCCCTCACCTGTACAGCTGCAGTGTGTGGCGGTTGCCCTGATGAGTGATCTCATATTTTGGCAAGCCACAGTAGCGGTCCAGCTCTGTGTCATCCTTGTACCAGGTCACCTCTGGTTCCGGGTATCCTGAGAAGGAAACAGGAGATTGGGTTGCAGAAAGGCTAGTCCCAAAATAGTGGGAGGGGAGGACAGCAGGCCATGGCTTCTCCAGACCACCTGAAGAGACTGGACAGGACCAACTGCCCCAGGCTTGGTGACAACAGGGCCACTGTATGTCTCAGCTTATTTTTAGAAGCTGGTCCCTGTCAAGGCTGAAAATGATTCCACTTCAGCAGCTGGGAAGAAAATATGGAGGAGAAACTTCCTAGCTTCCTAGAAGGAAGGGAAACCAGGAGTTTCCAGCAATCTCTAGCCAGAAGTAATGCGCTTCCTTCTGCAGTGGCTGATTCTGCACCCTGAGCTGTGCTAAGGGCTCTGTCCTCAGAGGTCTCCCTCACCCCACCACCAGCATCGCTGCCAAGAGCCCTCCTCCTTTCAGTCCGAGTTCCTGAGCTGTTAGCATTATCTGAAAACATTGCTAAAAACATCCATCCGTCCACCCATTCATTCATTCACCCCTTGTCCATATCCACCCAGCCATCCACACCTACCTGTCCACACAGTCACCATAGGGAGACCGACTGAGGCGTCTGTACAGCCCCTCTTCTCTGGGGACTCCCAGGCCACCCATGAGGAAGAGCTTCCAACTGTTACAGTCACATATCCCTTGCCTCCCTGGCCATAGCTGATGGGTCCAGTAATGGACACCAAAGCAGCTAATCTAATCCAATTATTTGACCTAGGATTTGGGAATTAGCACCTAGAGACAGTCTACCATTGTGTCTGGACATTTAACTTTGAAAGGGTAGGGCAGCCACGGCTGCACAGGGACTGAAAAGCAGGCAAAGCCAGCCAACGGAAAGAAACAGAAAAATGAAGCTAAGCTCAGGATAGAGTAAGAGGCGGGAGACAAAGAGTCCCAACATGCTTCCAAATACTGGCTCCGTTCCTTGCCTGGGCACTTCTACACTCCTCTTGTCAATTCCATAGAAGGCCCTCTAGCCTTACCAATGAATTCTGCTTCATTTCTTCCACAATTTAAAAAATATCTTTTTAGAGATGGGGTCTCACTTTGTCACCCAGGCTAGAGTGCAGTGGCAGGATCCTAGCTCACTGCAGCCTTGAGCTCCTGGGCTCAAGTGATCCTCCTGCCTCAGCCTCCCGAGTAGCTGGGACTACAGGTGTGTGCCACCACACCCAGCTCTGCTGCATTTCTTAAGCTGACTCCAGCTGATTTGCATTACTTGTCAGAAATCAAAGACTTCTAACATACATTCACTGAAATATATACATTAAGCACCTGCTGACTGCCAAGCTAGGGTTATGAGGACGCAGAAGCACTTAAGTCAGGGTCTCTTCTCTCAGCGAATTTCTCCAGTAGAAAAGAGAAGACATGTACCCACCCAAGGTAGCCCTGCACCCGGCATCCGCACGTGCGCTCTGCCTTCCCTACTGTCTGCGGCTAAACCACGCTCCTGTCCAGAGCGGCCCCTCACCGCATCCCCTCTCCTCTCGCCCAGTCAAGGACACCTCTGCAACAATTATTCCTGCTCTCCCCGCACGGGAAAACTCTTCTTCTCTGTCGTAGCTTTCCCAGCAGCAATCAAGGCTGATGTACTACCTCCCTTTTTTAAAAGAAACTTCCTTTGACCCCACATCCTTCTCTAGCTCCTGCCCTCATTTCTCTGCTCTTTCATTTACAGAAAAATTCTTTGAAAAAGCTGTCTGCACTCGCTGTCTTCACTATCCCTCCTCCAGTCGGGCTTTTGGACCCACCACTGCATCAGAATTGCTCATCGAGGTCCCCCGCAACTTGCACGTTGCCAAATCCAGTGGCCAGTCCTGATGCCTCGCCTGCCCCATCCATCAGCAGCGGTGACCCCACTTCCTGAAACCTTCACTTCACCTGCTCCTGGGACACCACTGGCCGCTTTTGCTGCGCTTGCTCTTTCATCCGTCCTCCTGCACCACCCGCACCTGCCCCAGGCTCAGGCCTCAGGACCATCCTCTGTTCCCTATCTACACTCACAACACGTGGGACCTACTCCTGTCCTGTGGCTTTCGAATATCCGTACGCTCGTGCCTCCCGAATTTCTATCTCCTCCTAGACTCCTCCCCCGAACCCCTGCCTGTTACTGCTGCTGGCAGACCCGGCATTTCCACCAGGAGGTCTAAGAGGTGTCAGACGTACCATGCCCCATGCCAAACTCCTAATCCCCTTTCCAGCCAATTCCCACCAGTCTCAGCAGACGGCAACTTCATCTGGCTCGGGCCAAACCCGGGGGCAATCCCGTGTTCCTCCTGTCTCACATCCACTCCACCAGGCGTCCCGGCGGCCCTCCCGTCACAAAAATCCTGAATCCGATCACCTCTTGCCATTCCCCACCACCTGCCTGGTCCACGTGCGTCACCTCGGTTTCTGCAATAACCTCCTCACTGACCTCACTGCTCCCATCCATTCTCGGCACAGGGGACAGTGATCCTTTTACAAGAAAGTCAGACCTGGTGCTGCTTTGCTCAAAGCACCCCAATAGCTCCCACGTCACTCAGGCCCCGCGACTGCGCCAGCCTCGCCTCCCACCGCTCTCCGCCTTGCTCGCTGTGCCCCAGCCGGCCACCAGCACACCCCCAAGCGCCACGTCTCAATTCCCACGGGTCTCCACTCGCACGTTACCTCCTCCGAGAGGCCTTCCCTACCACCCCGTGTCAGACAGCAACTCTCCCTCCCTGGCACTTCTTATTCCTCTCACTATGTTTATTTTTCTTCATAGAACACGCTGCTACCTGACATCCTATACACTAGGAGGTTGTTGGTTTATGTCCACCCTTTCCAAGACAAATATATCAGCTCCATGACAGCAGGGACTTATCTGTGTTGTTCAGCGCTGTGTCCCCAGTTCCTAGAATAGTGTCTGGTATGGAATCAACACTCATCAAATATTTATAGATGAATAAATGAAGCAACGTACTAAGTGCTCGGGGTTGCAGAGAAGGGAGCAGCCACCTCTGGCTGGGGAATCAGGGAAGGCTTTTGTAGTGGTGGCTCTTGAAGCGCCCTTGAAGGATGAGCAGAATTTCATAAAAAGTGGGCTCAGCACTTCCAATCTCCTCCTTTCCCCTGAGCTTTAACATCACCTGCACTTCCCCCGCGCAGCACGAGTCACGATGCCATCACTGACTGCTCCTTGTCTGTCTCTCCTGCTAGACTTCGGTCCCTGTGCGCAGGAATTGTACCTCGTTCCCTGCTACCTCCCCACCCCCTAAGACAGTGCCAGGCACATAGTAGTTACTTAATAAAACTGTGCTGGGCACGTGAGTACATGAGTGAGCAGGGGAAGGCATAAACAAGCAGGAGGGGGTGGGAAGTGCGCGCTGACAGAGGGACCGCAGCGCAGCGTGTGAGGGTGAAAGGCAAAGCGCACGTGGGGAGCTGCATACGGGCAGGCGGGCGCCGGGAGCAAGGGAGGCGAGGCTGCAGCTGGGTCGCCAGGAACAAACTCTGGGCAGCCCTGACTGTAAAGCGAGCCCCATGTTTCCACTGCGAGCTAAAGCCCCTGGTTACATCACCGTGCGTGTGGCCAGGGCCAGCACAGGTGTCCTCACCATCCCGTGGGGTGATCTCATCCCTACAAGGGCCCGTGGGGTGATCTCATCCCTACAAGGGCCCGGCTCAGAGCCTCCCTGCCCCATGACCTGCCCGGCACAGCTGCAGCCTCCAGGGCATCTGAGTCCAGGGGAGAGGGGAGGGAAGGGGCAGGGAGGGAGATGGTGAAAGGGTCCCGAAGCCCCAGGGCTAGGGCCTCAGCCTCCATGCCACCCTCTGCCACCTCTGGTGCCTCTACACACAGTAGGGGACAGCCTGACAGCTTAGGCCTTCATAGCAACAATGGGCTTTGGAAACAAATTTATTTGGGAGGACACATCGCCTTGTCCCCTGAATAATGCAAACTCTATTCTAAAACACACAAAAGCAGGAGGGGTCCGGGTGCTATGCTCCCAGCTGCACATATGTGGTGCTCGTGTGTGTGCCCACAGGCAGGTGTGCGCGCACACATTCGGCCCTGGCCGGGACAGCCCACGGCGGTACTTGAGCCTGTGGCCTTCCCTCAGCCCCTTCACACCCTGTGACCTCTTTTCACAGCCAGCAGGCCTGACTCACGAACCCAGCTCCAAGACTGGCAGCCCCAACCATTCCCAGTTTGCAGACGCTCAGATTCAGGAGATGAAGAAGAATGAATGGAAATTCAGTTTCCAAAGAATTTTCAAATATAGAATTTCATTTGACCCTCAGAACAACCCTGTGCAAACAACTGCTAACATTAATGAAGACTTACTATGTGCCAGAAACTGAGCTGAATACTTTTCATGTATTATCTCATTTAATCCTCTAAAAAATCCTACGAGGAATATACTGTTACTAATCTCCAATTTAAGGAAGAGGAAATCCAGGCTCATGAAATTAAGGCTCCTGACCAAAGTTATCTAGCTAGTAAATAGAAGAGCCAGAGCTATAAAACAGCAGATGTTTTCATCCCTATTTTACGCAAAAGGAAAATGAGGCTCAGAGAAGCTAAGTATCTTACCCAGGGTCACACAGCTGGCACATGACAAAACCTCAGGTCTCCTTTTCCTTTTTCCAGTGTTCCTTCCACTAGGGGATCTAGGACTAATATATGAGTTTTTGCTACCAGAGCTATAAAACAGCAGATGTTTTCATCCCTATTTTACGCAAAAGGAAAATGAGGCTCAGAGAAGCTAAGTATCTTACCCAGGGTCACACAGCTGGCACATGACAAAACCTCAGGTCTCCTTTTCCTTTTTCCAGTGTTCCTTCCACTGGGGGATCTAGGACTAATATATGAGTTTTTGCTACCAGTAGTCATTATATTAGACTTATTTCTCTTAAAAGAATTTCTTCAGAAAAATGGTTCTGTCTAAAGCTTCAGTCCCTTTGTCCAACTTGCCTGCTGCTGGTGCTTCCTCCTCCCATATGCACACACACATGCACCTCAACACAGAACCTACAA